CATCGGGAACCACACTGGAAAATGCATAAAGGCATTCTCAACATCATATGGACAGTGTAAGATATTAGAAGCAGAGCTTAGGGCTATTCTTAATGGGATACTACTGGTTAGAGGTCTTGGATTTTTAGACATTTGGATTGAGGCAAATTCCAATGCAGCCATTCATTGCATCACCAAAGGTAGAGGACCATGGGCTATTCAAGGCATACACAGAAAGGTTGCAAACATCATCTCCTTCGATAGAGACAGGATTACCCATATCTATAGAGTGGGAAACCAAGTTGCAGACGCTCTTGCTGCAGCAGGTTAGAATAAATGGCGATATCAAACGTATGGGTAGGAAAAGAATTAGAAGTGATGGGGACCAAGAGTTTGATTCTATTACTTTTAATTCCTTTATTCAGCATTTGGTAATAATTCATGAGACTATTCCTCCAAACTCACCTACATCTAATGGTGTAGTTAAAAGAAAAAATGAAACTTTGATTGATTTGACAAATATCGTGCTTCTTCAAATCTTTGGGGTGTAGAATTCTTAACTGCATGTTATTTGTTAAATAAGGTGCCCCACAAGAAAACAAAATCACATCTTTTGAGCTATGGAAAGAATATAAGCCAAACTTTGAATTTTTAAGGGTTTGGGGCTGTTTAGCATTTGTAAAACTAACAGATCCTAAAATACCAAAATTGTGCATTAGAACTACGATTTATGCTTTTCTTGTAATAGTATAGCCCATAGATTTTTAGATATTGAAATTAATATTATTTTTTAGTTAGATGGTGCTATTTTTCTTGAAGAGAATTTTCCTTCATGTATATATATATTGGAGGTCGGTAATTAAGAAAAAATATTTATCAGAAACAAATTCTTCTACTCTTTCCAAACCAATAAAATTTTCAAATTGAACCTAGGAGTAAAAGAGCTAGAGTAGAAAATGATTTTGGCCCTCACTATTATGTTTTCTTTATTGAGGAAAGTGCATATTCTTTACAAAAAGCTTGTACATAACTTGATGCTGTGTTATGTAAAGAAGTTGAAATGATAAGATGGATTCTCTCATTTCCAATAACACTTGGAAATTGGTAAATTAACGTTGAGCTGTACAACAATTTATTGTAAATTGGTCCTTAGAAATAAATAGAAATTAGATGGTACAATCGATGAATTTAAGGCTATATTGTTGCAAAAGGTTAAAAAAAAATTCGTCGATTTTTTTTATTCTCTTTCTCCGTTAATTACAGTAACATCCATTAGATTATTAATTGCAGTGGTTGCAATATATGATCTTAAATTTCATCAAATAGATGTAAAAACTGCTTTTTTTAGTGATGATCTGGATGAGGAAATTATATGAATCAATTGGAAAGCCTTGTGGAGATTGGACAAGGAAGCAGAGTGTGTAAGCTAAATAAATCCCTACACTACTTAAAACAGCACTTAAGCAATGACATGAAAAGTTTAATTTTTGCATGAATAAAAATAATTTTAAAGTCGATGAGTGTGATAAAGTGCATATATTACAGATCTCGTGAAAATTCACGTCATTGTTAGTCTCTATGTGGATGAGTTGTGGATATTTGGTTCGAATTTGCAAGTGTAAATGAAACAAAAATTATGCTTTGTAACCATTTTGATATGAAATATCTTGGTGAGGTTAATTTCATTTTGGGTATGAAAATCACAAAAACAAGGGATTGCATTTTTCTTGATCTAATCGCATTATGTTGACAAAATGCTAAAAAAATATAATTACTATGATCGCAAACACATCGCTATTCCCTTTGTTTCTATTGTTCACTTATTTCATGTGAAAAGTGAAAATGATGTGATTAATCAAAAGGAATATGCTAGCATAATTGAAAACTTACATTATGCAATTGATTGTACTAGATCTAACGTTGCTTATACAATAAGAATACTTAGCACATTTACTAGCAAGCCAGGGAAAGATCATTGGCTTGCCATAGAGAGTTTAATGAAATATTTATCTAGTACCAAGAATTTTGACTTGTTTTATGAAAAGTACCATGTTGTACTTGAAGGATTCAGTAATGCCGATTGGAATACTTTGTCGAAGATTCTTTCTCTACCACTGGTTATAATTTTACATTGGGTGGTGGTGCTATAAATTGAAAATCTAAGAAATAAACCATTATTGCTAACTCAACCATGGAAGCTGAGGTCATAGGTTTAGCATCAGCAAGTACGGAAGCAAATTGGCTCGGGGATTTATTATGTAAAATTTTATCGTGGGAAAAATCGGTTCCATCTGTGTTAATTCATTACAATAACAATGTAGCAATTCGTAGAATATATGGTCATTATTATAATAGTAAATTTAGACCTATTAGGGGAAAATACAGTACTGTGAGATCTTATCTAAATAATGATATCATTAATGTTGATTATGTGAAATCTTGTGATAATTTAGCTGTTCCATTACAAAAACCTTGTAATGAAAAAGGGGTCTGAAGCACATCAAAGGGGATGTGATTGAAGATAGGATGGGATTGAAGCCTATATAAACAAGACCCACGTATGAAGATACCCAACCCAATGACCAGAGATCACTAGAACTGGGCTCAATGGGAATAATGAATCATATAGTGGTAGCAAGAAATTCACTATTTATTTTATTCTTATCGTCCTTATAGTGTGAGTTCATTTATCATGTAATGTTGTTTGGAGGTTGAGTTTTCTGCCAAAAAAATAAATAAATAAAAATTAGACTATGGTTCTTATGAGTGGGGTGGAAATATTACAAGAGCACTCTTAAGAGATTTCACCTATAAGATGTAGAGGAGGGGCAACATCCTATGAGTATTAGGCTTATTCTAAGATACACTCATGAATCTGGGATAGCACAAGGTCGTAACATGTTGGCTATGAAAACTCATGATAACACCTGGATTATTACGTGTGGACGATAATTCTTTATTTTCTTAAGTAGTCATAGTTCAATATTGAGCACATTACTGAGTGTGGAGTAGAGGTTTCACTAAGTGAAGGTTCGACGAAGAGCACACCTTCATGAAGCATAATAATCCCTCTTAGCCTGGTAACTTTTTTATATTAAAATGAGTGGAGGAATGTTGGTGCATATTTATATTTGAATAATGCTACCATGCTAGAAAAGTTGACACAATGCCACATGACATTTTGTTACTGAACTGTTTAAAACGCAGTCAACTTTTTCATCTAATCATCTTCTACCGCCACTTTATCTATCACTACATCTGTCAATTCTTTCTGACAAAGTGGTATAATCCTTAATATTTTAATCATTCATTGCATTGTCATTTAATAGGTTTTTGAAGGTTTCGAAAATTTGAAAAATAAAAGGTGAAAGTTGAATATGTACAGTCATGTAATCATCGTGTGTGTTTATGACACCTCTTTCTTTTATGTGGCCTATTTTTACATATAAATAAACCATCTTTGATCATTCATCTACGATCGCAACAATTACAATTATCTCATCTTCCCTTTTTATATTCTAACTCATTTTTATTGAGGAAATTTTATAGCAAATGGAGTTCTTTTAGTAAAGCTTTTGGACTCAACTACTTGTGCAGAGTTTGTTTGAGCTATAAGATGAATAATCAGTCTGCTATATCCTAGAAGGAACAAAGTCATAGAAAAGTTCTGCTGCACCACATTTTAAATGGTATCACAAATTGTATGTGTAGCACGCTCGTCTTTTATATTGTACAGAAATTCAAGACATGCTTAGGACCTACACTTTACTAAACGTAATAAAATAAAAATATTTGCAAGTAATAAATATAATAGTGTAGATACGGTAAGGATATAGTATTTCACATGCGAATTGCACAAATGAACTCATGAAGCGTCTATTCAAGATCGTTAAGGTGACTCAAGACGCATCATATGCAAATACTATAACATATGTACGAAATGTCTATTGGCCACGATTCTTAAAATATTAGAACATTTTCAAGAGACTCTTTAAATACAAAATACTCTTTATTTTAGAGAGTTAATGCTTAAAAATGAGTTTCAATAAACTCTCTATTTTAACTTTTTTAAAGTAGAGAGTGTGTTTTACCCTCCAAATTTAGAGAGTCAAACCCACCATATATTCTTAATATAAAATGATTGTATTTAATACATTACAAATTTTAATACTCTACAATTTAAATTTTTCAAAATACATTTGAATTGATTGATCATTAATATATATAAAAAAATTATATTTAAATAAATATGTGGAGAAATTATTAAACATTCATTTACAAAAAAAAAAGAATCAAAATAGAGAGCTTATTGGAGTGTGTAAAAAAATTTACTCTCTAAATTTAAAGATGCTCTCTATTATGCATAAGATAGTTTTTATAAATATAGAGTCTTTTGGAGATGCTCTTATATGACTTATCATTTTTTCTTTCGAGTTTTTCAAGAAGAGCAACCATGCTACATTGCTCTTTAATTGTGTACATTTTCCCCTACACGAGAAACCCACCCACACACATAAAACTTCCTTTAATATTGCGAGCACTTCAGGTAAAACTCATCTTTAAAATAGGTTTATAAGAAGAGTATCTAATGTGCAATTGTGCATATATAAAATCAAAGGACAAGACTTATGAAAATAATACCATTTATCATTAGTTGTAATCATCAAGAGCAACGAGTATCGTTATACTTAAGTTGCAGACAAAAATGCAATGCACGACAAAACATTCAATTCTTTTGGATAAGTTGAGGCAGTGTATGATAATGGTGTGCCATATGCCTCTTATCACTCATTGAAATAACTGACGAAAACCTTTAGTGCAAGTTTAGCAGGATGATTGAATGGATGCTGGATAGAATTAAGAAAAAATAGAATTATACTGTCCAGCCCTATATCATATTATATATTGTATTCCTAAAATGCATTGTAACAAAGTATAACCAGGTGCAGTGCAGATATGTTCATGAAAACACACAGAGTTTAGCATTGGATAATGTAGCATTTCAGAAAAATTCTATTATATTATTAGCAGTCAAGCAGAGTACTTATCTCTATTTATATGGAACCAACAAATTCACTATAATTTGATCACAAAACACTTTAAGAGAAGAAGTTTTTTCAGGAGGCAGTTCATTTATCTTAAGCGTTCGGGAATCAATTCCCTGTCCTCCTTTGTCTTAAGCACGCTTCAGTAAATGCGAGGATTACAAGCTCTCACTAGAAAGATTGTATCCCCAACCATCAAATACAGAAGGAAAAAACAGCGAAAATAAAATTAGAAACCAAAAGATTTTACATTTTGCATCTTCGGACTTCAATATTTATTAGCACGCGGAGTATCTTCTTGAAGGTATACTATGCATAAGCTCTTTGAAAGCTGCTAAATTTGATTATATTTTGTGGCGCAAACACAATTTCTCGAGCCTCATGCGACCACTGCAGCAAAGAATTGGCACATTCGCTTCACTTGACGACAGTCACGAGTATATATCTCTTTTATTGATGCAGCCGACTCTGTCTGAAGAGTTCTCTAGAAAGCTAAGTCAATGTGGGATGCACTTATAGTGTACTAGTAAAAAGACATCTCGTAGATGTGATGACCTGAATAAATAAAGCATTGGGTTTGCAAGAATGTCCTTCAATACGAAGCACAAACTCCATGATGAGGAATCAGGTGAACGGTTGGAAAGACTAATCACTTCGGTGCCAATCTTATCGGGCACACATAGAAAGCAACACATCGAGCTGCTTTAGCCAACATAAATCGCTCATTTTCTGTCAATGGCCTCTCAATGACCTTCACAATGTTTGCATCCTGTGCAAGAGATTTCAAGTATCACTAAGTACTGATTATAGAATACAACAAATATACTGATTGTCACCTCTATATTTCATAGTGTAAAAATATAAATGAGATCCCCATTCATATTGTAGCACTTGGTCCACAACCAAATTTTCTTAGCATTTGGATCTCAAACCTTTCAAATTTGTAGCATTAGAGCCCCCACATTAACGGTTTACATCCACTTTGGTCATTAAAAGTCAAATTTCAGTTGAAAAGACAATTATATACTTAATTTCAATTAAAACAAAACCAAGTAAAATAAAAAATCTCTCTCACATACACCCCCTTTCCACCACCTATTTTCTACCTCCACCCAAAATTGCCATCCACAGGCAAGGGGTAGGGAAAGGGGAGAAGCCAGTGGTGTGGGTGGGGAGAGCAGGCAGAATTGAGCAACCAGTATGCTATTTTTTTTCCTTTTCTTTTCCTTTCCTTTCCCTTCTATTATTTTATTTATGCATTCATTAATTTTAATTAAAACATTTTACCCTCAAGCAGTCCTGCACTTGACCTTTTAACAGAACAAGTACCTAAATACACAGAAACCATATAGTGGGTACCAAGTGCTATAAAATCAAAAAGCTGGGGACTGATATATCAAGAAACTTAGGTTGGGACCCAAGTGCTACAATATGCAAGGCTTGCAAACTATGCAAAATAGAAGTTCAATGACCTTTTCTTGTTTTCTAATTGAATCTAGACTACAACAATATGGAGGAAGCATTATAATGGATTAAATATTACACGATTCATCTCACATAGCTAAAGGCAGCAAAATAAAGTATACCTTTTTTTGATCTTGAACTAAAGGCCTTACACTGGCAGTATCGCCAACTACAATCACATTGTTCGTATTTCCACTCTGATCCCTTTCTGTCGGTGAAGCTGTTGAATGCCTCCATTGTCCATTGGTAATATACTTATAATAGTACCTGCCATAGTGAAAATTACTCGTTGTAGTATTCCAATAACTGATTCTAACTGTATTATCTGTTTTTATCAAAAGTAATTTAGAAATTTTGCATGTTAGAAACTGATGCAGTTTGTCTCGAAGAGAAAACAATCAAGAAATTATAAGAAAGTGTACGCATTTGTTGTTGAGTAAAAAGTTCAATGAATTGAAGATGTAAAATTTTAGGAAGACTAGGAAGGAGCAAAGACCCATCTTCAAAAGTCTACCTACAAGTTTGAAGGCCTCAACGAATTAGGAAGTAAAAGAGCAGAATTACTTACTTCCCTTGTGAAAGTCTAACTTCAACTTCATATCTTGGGCCACCCATATGGATTGCCTTAATTGGTTCTTTCCAATTACCTGTAAAATCTCCAACTAAATATACATCTTCCCCCTGTAAACCAATACGAAGTGCCGAGATAAAGAGCGACGAAAACAGATAGATTCATAGTCAAATGAAATGAGTTGGATACATTAGCATGTGACAGAAAGTGTAAATTATTGCTGTCTTGTTGTAAAAACAGAACACAACTCCGAAAACAAATTAGAAATACAACAAATTAACACCAGCCATATTACCTCATGTCCATTCCACACAAAGGTCACAGAATGGGTTGCTGGTCCGTCATGTCTGCCACTTTCAACCATGGATATAAGATCCCAAGTTGCCCAGGCAATTGCAGGCCTGCAACCAACATATTAGTGCAAGGTTTAGAAGATATGGTACATCTATGGTGTCAATTTCATAAATGATTGAAATAACGAATTGACCAAGTATTAATATAGCAAATGAGGCAGGGGCCAAATCAGTCAATCAATTGTAGACGAACATGCCTAATGCCCAGAGAAGATAAACTACGGAAACATAAAAAGGAGTGGAATAACCTAAACTGCAGATGTGCAGAGGACACAATTGCTGTGCACTAGCTGAAATGGTCATTTAAAATGCAGAGATCGTGCCTCTAGAGCAATCTAAGGTGGTTAAAATAAAGCCGGTCATATTATTTTGATTTCATTTTTTCAGCACTTCTCTATTTAATCATTTTAAATGCTTGCCACAGAATTACGGGCATCTACATGTACATAGATAGGCATATGTGTTGAACTGTGTTTCAAATCAAAGTCAGAGAACAAGAAAAGTTGAATATTATGATCTATCAAAAAAAAAAAAGAATATGCTCCTATCCAAACTTTGAAAGCATGGACATACAGTTCAGCTTGTTAGGCCATTAAATGCACAAAACAGTTGCATAATAGAAGTTGATGAGGAAAACCTGTCAGGCCTGCACGTATGCAACCCAGTGACAAAATTGTGAGCTGCATGAAGGGAAGTATCTGTCATCCAATGAAGGTATGCAATAACACAAGAGGGAGATCGATCAAAGCCACTGGTACAGGTGATATAAACACAATGGTTCTTCTTAAGTAAGCGCAAGAGAAGACCCACACAGAATGGGAGTTTCTTTCTCATGTCAAAAGAATCTACATCCCTGCCAAAAAAACAAATATACGTCTAAGAAATAAGTAATTATTGACCATTTTGGCAAGCATTATAACATGTGATGCCAGCTTAGCAAATCCAGAAAATTCCAGCCATCCAGCGGTGCATTAATATGTGTGTGTGTGTGTGTGTGTGTGTTTCTTTTTTTTTCTTTTTTTCTTTTTTCATGTCGACAATTTAATATATCAGGGAATGATTAACATATGTACATTCTAGATAAAGTTGAGCCATTTTTTAAGGCATACATGTATAAATAGCCAAAGGAAGAAAGGCAATTGTAATTATATGGTTTTTCCTTGAGAAGGAAGAAAGAAATTTTTACCTTATGGGATAGTTTATCATAAGGATATTACAACGTTGGCACGAGTCATTGATCAAATTCATATCAATTCCCCAATTTGCAGCTTCAATTGTACTCTGGAGATTCAGCACAGCTGTGACTCCCTGATGCAAATATTGCTCAGCTAGAATAAATAAGAAATTGAACAACAACCAAATACGTAAAAGGAACACTTAAAGGATCCACAAGAAAGGAAAACACTGAATATGTCTTCCCATTATTATTGTTTAGTCAAAGATAATCTTCAATTGCAAGGACAAAAGAGTCAAATAATTATGCTGGACAGTGACTGTCATATTTACTTAATTACTGATATGATTTTTGCAACGCATATGAGTATGACAAGTTACAGAAGTTTGTACTTTAAGCAAGTAGATAAAATCATTTTGTATATCATGCCAACAAAACTGGTTGAATTTGAGAGGAAGCCTTAATGCATTATTGACATCGAATTGACGGAAAATGATAGCGAAAACCAAAATGTATGCATGGGAGCAATAAATGGAAAACTGTAGCAGCGATAATATAGTAAAGGAATGGCAGCTCTCACGACAGTGCTTGACAAAGTCTCTACATCTGCTTCTTTTTGAATGCACGATCCAACATAAATTTGCTCCGTGATCTGACCCAATACAGTAAAAGGATCAGTAGGGTGGCATTTATTAATTCAAAACCCATCTAAAATTATTCATTTTGAACCAATTTTACAGTGCATACAAAGTTATGGAAATGGATAAACAAGAAGCTGAGAATGTAATATAAGAAGGGTCACGTACCAAACTATTTCTATGCCCACAACAACCACTTGTACTAAATAACTCCATAATTAATCAAAAGCAGGTGTTTGGTGGGAAAAAGAGTAAGCATATTAAAGTCAGCATAAAGGAGTGTGTTTGGTAGGATTGAAATATATTTCAAATTATACAGTCTAAAAACCAAAATAAAGCGTCGAAGGGAAATGTTGGCTAAGAAGCTGACAATTCAGTTAGAGCTGCATATCCAGAAAAGTGCACATGTTACAGTACAAAGGATATGAGATTTATCCATGTAGATACCCAAGTGTCGCTCACTTTTTGTCCTAAATATTGGTTTACTTATTTGATAATTCCAAGACGTGGTCTCCTACATCCATCTTCAAGTTCATAACTGTGAAATTCAAAACTGATCAGGTGGCATCATATCTTGAAACCAAGAGATGATTCTTCAGTAAATACTTTTCCTAGTTCCATTTTATCTTTCTTACTCAGATTTTAATCTTTAACAAAATCTAACAAAATTAACAGCAGAAATTACTTATTCAGACTACAATTGATGGCCAATACAAGCACAATAAATAAGCAAGCTCAAAACCACACCTTACTATAGCGCATACCAAGAGAGTGATTGTAGTACAGCTCCCCCTTTGAACGTTCCAATGCCTTGACATACTCTTCAAGTGGGAAGCTCCCATGTCCCCACTCAGCATTTTCAGCCACTTCCTCGGAGAAAATGGCTACAAGAGAGCTAAATGGTAGAACAGGGGTGTGCTTAACCATGTGTGGCCGTCCATTAATGTCCTGATCATTTAAATACTTCCATCCTTGGGGAGTTAAAAACTTTGGACAAAATGTTACAAACCCAGAATTCCCACTGCTCCCAGATGATGTTTGTAAATTTGAAGCCAGTAAGTTTTTGTTCCAAGTGGCAATGGAAACACGACCTCTATTATACAAAATGTCAAGATCATTCATAAGATGGAGCTGATGTACAGGAAAAGGAGAGAAGGGTCTCTCAAGCACTAGGCTAAAAGAACCTGATTTCTCTTTCAAAATACTCCTGCATATTCCAAAATAATAATAAAATATATAAAAACCGGGGGCAACTATCTAGGACAGCATAATCATGATAATTTCTCCACAAGTAAGCCTATTCCGAATATAATATGACTATTGAATGCCTAAAATTATATCTTTACAATATGAATTTGGTAATAAAAATGTGTACTCGTACTCTGTATCACTGACGTCCTTGATCTCAACAAGCTTCCCACCTGAAGATTCACTCGCCTTCTTCAAAGTGTCGCCTACCATTATTATTCTTGATTTTTCAGCATTCCCCTATATTCACGTCCAGTAATTAATAGATTACATTAATACCAATTGCACAGCAAACCATTCGTCCAGCTTGTTATTCTCGAGCCAAACTTAGTTAAAACGAGATAATCAATATAAAGAGAACTAAAATGATTAACAAGTAATCAAAGACTCCCGCAATTCATATGTTTGTAATAAATAATGAGAAAAACTGACCCCTTTTTGAAGAGCATGCACGAAAAATTTTCCGTCAACAGACAGAGCGAATCGAATGCCGAGTGGTTTCTCGAGAGTAACCATATACTCATTCAAATTCATCTTGAATGTAGTACCGTTAATGGAGGACATAGCAAAAACCCTAGAGGCAGTGGCCCTCCCACTGTACAGTTGCTTTTTCACTGAATTGACCGTCTGGATTCCATTGTTTATATGCAAATCCCTTCCCCAAAATGAGGATTGCATTACACTAATACTAGTCTTTTGAAGCTTCTTAATCGAGGATAAACTCGCAGTGAACGCCGATTGCTCAAAACCTCTGCAATTCGACATTTGGGGTGGGAACACAAAATCTAGCAAAATTAGCTGATCGATGTTATGATTAAACTCTTAATCCCGTATATCAAAACATAATTAAAACAAAACACCTAATTTTGTACTATACACAATAATAACAACACGAAATGACTAATTCGGTGCTGCCTTGATCAATAATAACAGAAAAAGAGAACGAAAGCTCGACTCGACTCATCCAAACATCAATTGCTAGCTTAGGCAATTACAGAACTGATTTGATTATTATATGGATTCATCTATGTGTGTGTAGTGTGTGTAAATCTGCAGTGAGATTCGAACTGGTTCTAGGGAAATGGAGAAATGTAGGTGGAGAGTGAATGTAATTGGTGGGATAATTGGGGAAGAAGCGCCACATAGTTATGCTAAGAGGTCATTGGCCACGTGATTTGGCTGACCTTTTTTTTGGATTTACTGCCACGTCAGACACCTAAAGATACATACATCATACTAGTTTGCAATCACAAAAATAGATGCTTACAATTGCGGTCCTGTCCAATACTCATTTTTTTCAAAATGTATTTTTCTCTCTTTTCAGTTCAATCACACATTTTTTATTAAAATAATATTACACGTAAATTAAAAAAATTCTAATTTTTCCACCACACATTTCTCATCAATTTACTATTCAAAAATGTATTTTTACATAAAAATGTCTTCCAAACACCCTTTACATGTTTGGATAGCTAAATTTAAGGGAGAAAAAAATAGAGTACTTGAGTAAAGTTTATTTTAAATATAACTATTGAAACCCCGAAATTATTCATTTTCAATTAGGATAGACAAATGTATCAAATTGAACTAGACGTTCAATCTAGTTTTATGTAAGTTTTAAAAGATTCTAGTATTAGAATCAATAGATTTGATCCAATTATCAATTCTAGTTCGTGAAATTGAAAATTCAATTTCTCTTGAGTTTCAACTTTTTTCATTCTGGGTTGAGGCAAATTAGTATATAGGCTGGGCTTTAAACAAATGAAAACCAAACGCTTCAAAAAAAAATGGACTAAGTTTGGGGCCTAGGCCAAAAGTTCAAACCCTCACTGGACTATGAATTGCTCCATCTCTATTTGATACTATGGTAGATGATGAAGGTGTAGTAGATCACATGCTATGTGAAAAATAATTGGATATTGACACTCATTCATTTAACAAAACCTAGGTGTGTCACAAGTTTTTCTTTCTTCATTATCTAAAAAACTAAGAATGTTGTGAGCAAAATACATAGTGTCGTATTTTATGCGCAATAATAAAGAGATGAAAGAAAGAAATCAACACAAGAATTTATACAAGACTTTAAGGCCTGTGCAAGAAAATGCCCATGTACCGTACCACGGAGGCTTTGCCCTCGCACCCCTAACCCATTCAATGTCCCTGGCAGCCAGACAGTGAATTAAACCCACGCAAGGTCGATGCCATCGCTTCCCTCCAACATCGGCCTATTTGATTCAGGGAACCTATGTTTCACTCTATATGAGCCACATACACAACAATCTCCACCTTGACGAATATTCACCCTTTAGGAGAAAATGCAAAAAACATGACCTGGGAAACCACATCGTCTAGGACCAATGGGTTGGGACACATCCTCTCTAACACCTAGAGATGTTAATCAAGTTCAAACAATACTTGAACCTATCCATTGTGATTGACTTTGTCATCATGTCTACTGCATTCTTTGAGATATGCAACTTCTCTAACAACAGCTCTCCCGACGTGATCAACTCTCTTATCTTGTGAAATCTCACATCAATGTGTTTAGTTCTTACATGATAAGTTTAATTCTTTGCTAAGAAGATGGGGCTCTGACTATCACAGTACAACTTCATTCATTCTTGCTTGATCTCAAGTTCCCTGATAAGTCCTCTCAACCACAATAATTCCTTGGCTACCTCATATACTCTGCTTCAGTTGTAGATAATGCCACAAGTGTCTACACCATTGATCTCCAACATATAGCTCCACCCGCGAGTGTGAAAACATAACCTGTATAGGACTTTTTGTCATCTAAGTCGCTTGCATAATCTGAATCTACGTATCCCTGAATTGAAATATCATCATGTTGTCTCTCAAACATGATCCTACACTCCATTGTGCCTCTCAAATACCTGAAAATACACTTTATAGCTCTTCAATGCTCTCTACCGAGATTAGCCATTTACTTGCTAATCACACTGCTTCGTGTCCTAGATCTGGTCTATACACACCATTGCATACATCAAACATCCAACTGTGCTGGCATAAAGCACCTTTGACATCTCTGTAATTTCTTCTTCATTCTTTGGGTACTAATTATTAGATAATCTAAAATAATTTGCCAATGATATAGAAACTATTTTTGCGTCGACGTGCTAAACCTCTCGAACACTTTTTTTCAAATAATTTTTCTGAGACACCCATAGTTTTCTTGTCTTCCTATCTCTGTTGATCTCCATACCAAGAATTTTCTTAGCTGATTCCAAGTCTTACATATCAAACTTACTGTGCAACAAAGACTTCAATCAGTCTACTTCATTCATATTCTTAGCAGCAATTAATATATCATCCACATACAATATCAAGAAAATATATAAATCATCCTCAAGAACTCTGTAATAAACACAACAGTCATACTCACAATGACTGCAGTCAATATGAATTATACCATTACTGTGGAGACTGCTTAAGCCCGTATAAAAACTTCTTCAGTTTACATAAGATTCTCTATTCGGAGTTCCAATAACCCCTCTGGCTACTTCATGAAAATCTACCTCTCCAAATCACCATGAAAGAAAGCAATCTTCACATCCAACTGCTCTAACTTCAAATCAAAATTAGCCACCATTGCCAAAACAATCATGATGAAAGTGTATCTAACGAACGAAGACAAAATTTCATCATAATCTACTCCCTTCTTTTGTAAGTATCACTTTGCTACTAATCGAGCCTTGTATCTTTCTCCTTCCTTTTCTGACATTACTACTTTCTTTCCGTACACCCACTTTCATCCTATCGATTTCTTTTCCCTTGTAAGCTCCACCAAATTCCAAGTATCATTTTTATGCAGTGACTCGATTTCCTTCGACATAGCCTCTATCCATTTACCTTTCTCCTAACTACCAATGGCATCCTGAAAAGTTATAGGATTGCTGTTGTTGATAATAAGTGCATAAGAAATCGAATCATCTTCACGTTTACTTTAGGATAATTTATTATTTGATGTGGAACGTCTCTCGAGCTTTCTTTTTTTCAAACATTGACCTTTTCAAGGTCCTATTCCAAAAATCTAGAAATCTTATTCTAAGAAATCCTCTTTGGAGTAATCGTACTTGAGTGTAGATAATTGACTTCCATAAGAAGAGTTTCTTCTTTCGAAGATGATCTCAATGCTCTAATATTGAAATTTGTACTCATAACTTTATAATTTATATGATATATTACAACGAATGATTTCGAGCATTCATCAAAATTGAGAGTTTTGGTTTCTATCTGAAGAATAAGAGCATTTAATATGGTCTCATCATTTAGATCAATAGTATAATTGAATAACAATTTAAGAATAATATATATAAACTGTACGTAAATATGACTACAAATTGTATAATATTTAAATATTTTTCATCATTTAATACATAATTGTGTTTATAAATTGTATGTCATTGTAAATTTCTCTGGGATTCTAAGGATCGTGCATGGAGGTTACATTGGAGGAGTTGGAAAGAGAATTGCCTCCCGACTGACGAGGGTGGACTGGGCTTTAGAAGACTACAAGATACAGTAGACACATTCTCCATGAAGCTTTGGTGGTTATTCAAATCTCGGAGTTCTCCTTGGGCTCAATTTTTATTGGGCAAATACTATAGAGGGACACATCCACCACTTGCAGTTGTCCCTAATTTAGCCTCTCCTGTATGGAAGAGACTGAAGATATTTGGACAACATGCCAAACCACATATTTCGTGGCACCTTGGATAGGTCAAATTTTCTTTTGGCATGATTGTTGGATGGGAGATACTTCTTTGCCGTCCATCTTTCCAAACAGGCAGCACACATCTACAAAGGCGCAGAATTTTTTAAATGACGACGGATGGGACTTTGAACGATTATTGCAAGCTATTCTGCCAATTATAGCAAAGCAGATTGTGGACATGTCATTATGTGTTGATGTCACAGACCGCATTCTTTGGAAGGCTACATTGGATGGTAGATTTACCACCAAATCAGCATGGCAATTGATCCGTTCTAGCAGACCAATGCAAGATTCATTTCGCCTACTTTGGAGCCCTATCATACCTACCACAATCTCGTTCTTCTATTGGAAATTATTGGAAGATTTGATACCGGTAGAATTTATTATTCAGAGAAGGATTAGCAGTCAATTGACTTCTCGGTGTCAGTGTTGTTCGGAGACTGAAACCATCACCCACATTTTTACTAGTAGTGATATATCATATTAGGTCTGGCAGCATTTTGGGAGTTTATTTCAGATTTCTATGATTGCGGGTGAGAGCGTCAAATAGAGTTTTCTAAGATGCCAATATTCTGGTCAGTTTGTTGGGAGTGGGGCACATTCGCATCATTATTCCTCTTTTGGTTTTCTGGTTTCTATGGACCGAAAGAAATTATGCAAAGCATATGGGTGTTCGCATGAGATTAAGACGAATCATTATGAGGGTATACCGTATGATCTCACTCCTTCACATTTTAGGATTAATTCGACCACTAAATTGGCATTGTGACATATAGCTTGCTCCACTCTGTGGGATTACTATGACCCTCCCTCCATCTCTTTTCCCTATTATGGTTTAGTGGCATACTCCATCAGTCAGATTTGTCAAGATCAATACTGATGGATGAGTCAAAGATGGCTTTGCGAACGAGAGGCATAATCAGGGACTATGCAGGAAAATGCATAAGGGTATTCTCAACATCATATGGATAGTGCATGATACAGGAAGCAGAGCTCAGAGCTATTCTTGATGGGACATTACTGGGTAAAGGCTTTGAATTTTCAGACATTTGGGGTGAGGCAGACTCTATTGTAACCATTCATTGTATCATCAAAGGTTGAGGACTATGGGCTATTCAGGTTATACTAAGAAAGATTACAGAAAATATTTCCTTCGATAAAGATACAATTTCCCACATCTTCAGAGAGGGAAACCAGGTTGTAGGTGCTTTTGTTGCAGAGGGTTAGAATCACCCACAATATCAAGTATACGGACCATCTAACCTACCACGACAAATTACGGCGCTCGTACAAATAGATAGAAATGGACTGCCCAGTATTAGAACATGAATTATAAATTCACTTTTATTTTTATATTATTCTTATTTTTGTCTTTAATTGCATCAATTCTTATTGTAAGG